CGACAATTGGTGGATAGGGGAGCATCAAGATATGGAGAAGTCTGCCACTTTCGAGGATGGTCGCAATTTAGGAGTTCGGGTCCACGAAAGGTATGCGTAAGTGAGGTCTTCAAGGGGTCTAACGGCACACTGATTCATCATCAGGAACGCCGCCTTGAACGATGTGCAGAACATTTGAGGCACAATTCAACTGGCCCCCGTCGACACAACCTCCCAATACTTGCTTCAGCTGGACAAGTACTCCCAATGCGTATCCGGCTCCAACTGAATGGTACGAATCGGTAATCATACCGATTTACAAGGAAGCTGACAGATTATCTTATGAAAACCACAGTGAAATTAGTTTAATCAACATTGTCTTTAAGCTTCTCGCCGGCATNCCGGCATTATACTCCATCAGTTGTCTGCTGCACATATACGGTGCACGCGCGAGAAACAGGCTGGTTTTAGACCTAGTCGAGGTTGTATAGACCGCATTTTCACCGTTCTCCAAATTATCGTTTAGATACTATTTGTCATATCTCTGAACTAATTTCAACAGGATGTATGCCAACACAAAAGTGATACCATTTTTTCACTGAAAAAATCTGTGCACATTGGACGAATAAAGTGCACTCTTGACTCGACTCTCGCCACTCTCTTTTCGCCTAATGTTAGAACTCAAACATTCCTTTGTAGACCTAGTATCTCCAAAAGAATGATTTGGTAGCCTTCGTCATCATCGTACAACGAGATACAGTGAAGCGAACTTCACTGATCGCTGCCAAGCTCACAATGTACACAAGTCAAGCGATAAAGCACAAAATGGAGAGGGATTGAGTCTAATTGGAGGGAGGCAAAGAAAGTGAACCTCTATGGTCAACACACAGATTTCACTATCTAAGTGTACATACATACATTTTCAAGCAATCCGACCTGATAAGAAATGACAACAAGAACGCCACTGCTGTCGATTGGTAACCTTAACCTTCGGCCACCACCGCCATTGACATCGAAACACATCAGTTAAAGATAGGCCTTCTGAGCGGAACTTTTTGATGGTTTTTCAGTTCAACCATCAGCTGGAGGACTCAGTGAACACTGGACTATAATGAGGCCAACCATCCAAATGTCAAACACTACAACCATAAATTGTGGTGCACGATCAATGCACAAGCGATGGATCGCCCTGACGTTTTTTGCCCTGCTGGACGCTCCAAAAGCTATTGCTTCTGATGTCAAATACGATACAGAGTGCAAATTCCATAAACGCCAGCTCTTGAAGAGCCTGAGGAGTAACCACGGCAAGTGGTAGGTGCGAAAATGTAGAGAGATGGAGAAGGCCGCGGGTATCGAGTTCAGGGGAAGCAAGAGTGAGGTAATAAAAGAGTCTGATGACACCGTTTCATATTCCATAACGCCGTTTTTAGCGATCGGCTGAACATTTTTAGGTACCGTTCAGCTGGCTCCCGTCAACATTAGTCCTCCAAATTCCTGCTTCAGTTGGGTAAACACACCCAGTTGATAATAGTCTCTTATTTGAAATAGAGGTTTTCAGGGCAATGAGTTATCTCCAAAGATATCAGGTGTTCGGCCTGGACGTGTCCCAATCGGAATTTAAAGAGTTAGTCTTGATTTTTGAGTTAACGAAGCTCTACATTTTGACTGTCCATACTACGTTGAGATGAACATCACTTTGACGAAATTTCCTTATTTGTTCTGTCCAGAAAAAAATTTTGAATAAACAGTCCAGTGTGCAAATCAGCAATGAGCAGTATATAGCCGTATCGGTTTTGTTAGGATTTGACATGAGTTTGTGAATTGTTTGTTTCTCTGATCGGTGTCCAACGTTTAGGTTGGCGAAAGAAGACTTCACAGACCCTGTGTTGGTGAGTTCGCTTGAAATAGATTAAGGCATCTTTTTAACCTTGTTCTTGTTTCTATGTTATCAAATTTTAAACTTACGTGACTGTCAAATATGAAGCACCATTGCAATTAGCGCTGAATCACGCGCTGTGAGACTATGAGACGGTCCCCTTTGACCGGTGTAAACCTTATGGCATACCCAGTTGAGTCCAAGTATTCAGTTTCGAATGTGGGCCAGCAAACAGAAAGCGTTACACGTAAATGCACAGCAGCATAGATTCGCATACACACGCGTACAGATTTGAGCAGCCAAAGCGAGAGGCGCTCGTAAAAAAACAAACAAAAAAGGCGACTTCCAGGAACGTACACGCAGACTAAATAAAGAAACCGATGTGGAACCCAATGGAAACAAAAATTCAATGCAAGGGTAAACGTACGAGGGAGAGATAGAAACGTGATGAGTGATGTTGAGACAGAAATTTGCCCATTCTTTGTAGTATTATTGATAAAATTCTGACGCTTTTCTTAGTCCCTCCTGTCAAATGAAGTTAAATTATAGCGATGTGAACATTAGTTCATCCTGTTCGAAGTCCGAATACTATCTGAATAATGGCGTGTCCCGTTCGAACTGATGCATGGGGAACCAACGGCCCCTGGGGAACACAAGCGTAACAAACGTTTCCGAACCACTCGACAAAATCCAGTGGATCTCATTCCTGCAGTAGATTGTCCGGGATAGGCATTCAAAGAATGGGTATTTTCAATTTGCTGCTCTGCGATCAGTTCAGTTTGTGCTCCTAAGGGGACTTGATTGCGCATTAGATTGTTTGATTTAGAAGAGCAGCATCCAGATCTACGATTTTCACTTGTATCATAGGCGGAGGGATATAGAAGTTCTGGATAGTATCTGGATCCATTTTTGCGTTTGTTGAAACCACAGCATACTTGTCTTTGCGGCAACTGTGGAATGATCATCCTTGTGAACTGACAATACATGGTATATCCACATCGAGGGCAGGAGGGCATATGCACACACGGGCATGGAATGGGTGATCCGACACTGTTTCTGACATCCGAATGACAAACGGGCGGTGGAG